GTTCCACCTGAGTATCTCGAAACATCTTATGAAGAACTTCCACACTTGCATGCTGGGAGCCACTCGTCATCTGAATGCTTGCTGTTGTAGAGACACTTCATTTAGTGTGGGGCTGTCCATTGGGAATTGCACGCCAAGGCGGCCTCTTGCCTCCATTCAGCACAGCGTACGTGAAAGGATGGAAACGTGGCACCATGCTTTTGGCGACGTTGGAGGCAATCAGAGTGCTGGAGCTGGAGGAATCCATTGAGCATTGGATCAAGGCGCTGGGTTCATGGAGTTTATTGATACGCTGAAAGGTTCAGCATAAAAAAAACCCGACACACTTGTGAGCAAGAATCACAAAACCAGCAATTTGCAGGTCAGCTTCGCGACAGTGCATGCGAGTTTCGGTGCCTTCAGTGATGTCCGAAGCAAGGTCTTCGCAAATCGAGGTCCAAGGTTTTGTTATCCCATGATGCCTCAATAATTACTTGTCAGTGTGCTTTTCATGTCAATAAAGAAGTAAACCTGGATTGGTTTTTGAACCTGGTGCTGTTTTGGATCTGGATATGAGTTCAATCTCATGGCTCATGTTTGGTGCAGGAGCGACGCTTGCCCATGTGGCTACTCGAAGGCCACCACACGCGTTCAACTTTCTTCGTCAGATCAAGATCTTGCAGAAGACCGGAGCAAACGGGGGCAAACAGCATTTCCAGGACTCATATGAGATTGAGGTGTTGTGTGTGCGTGTTTGAGCGTGTGTGTTTTCAATCATTTTTTCCGAAGGATTGACAGTCGCTGCCGGCTGCGGCAGCTGCAGGTTTACTGCTGTTGAATGTACATAACACATTGCCGTGTTCAGTGGCTTTGTGCAGGACTGGGAGCAGGCAGCTGGAGTGGCAAAAGCCTTCAAGCTGGGAAAGCTCGAAGCTGAAGCTGTGAGCCAGCTTCAAACCAATATCCCGAAGCACGTAGTGGACAATCTAGCCAATGCTGTTCGCATTCGTGGGCTTACAAAGCTGATCACACATGAACTGATTGCCAAAGAGGTTTTCTCCTCGAATTGGTCTTCTGGAATTGGGCAGTTAGAGAGCTGGAAAGAGGAATTGAGGAACGATCCAGACCACAAGCTTGTCACCTGATTTTATCTGTATTTTTTCCTGTCCCAGGGGTTTCCCTTTGAGTATTGTCAACTTCCCGATCATTTAGCAGATGTCATTTTCATGTGACTTGGTCTCGTGAATTTGTCTCAGGTGGATCTCTTCTTGTCGCGTGTTGTGGCAACCCATGACAACGCACCTTCTGAGATGCGCAAGGCTCTTTCCTACACAGAGGGAGTGCAACTCCACCAATGCTGCGGGGCCATGCTGCATTTTTTGAGGGAGTTCCAGCGGATTGCTCCGCCTGCTGACTTTGAAGACGCACGGGCTTCCCTGTTGTCTCAGTTCTCCTTTGGATACTTAGATCCAGACCTCCAACATTGCATGGAAACAAGTGTCCCTCCCGGCGACGTCAGCTCTGTTGGAGCTTTCAGGACAGACGTTATGGCCAGAAATTACAAAGTCAGAGCCAGTTTTATTGATTCCAGCCAAGTTTTCAAAGGACAAAAATGCAGGGACATGGATTTTTCAGTTTGCCAAGAATCCTTGTAATTTGGATGCCACACGTGAGGCCGTTTGTCTGCAAAGTCCAGAATGCCACAAAACGCCAGAAAGAGGAAGCAGAGGAAGCATTGGCCGCTGATGTCAGGAAAGCCGATCTGAAACAAATTGTTGCGCGATTGACATCTGACCTCGAGACTTTGGAAGGCATGGCTGGAGGTGATGCCGAAACTGCGAAGCAGACAGCTCTGGACTTGAAGTGGATCCGAGAACGCCAAGCGATTCTAGGCTAGTTTGTGTTTTTCTTACGGGCCCAGCTACTTTGTGCTCGTTTCCGAGATTAGTTTCGTCCATGACCTAGGAAAGGAGACGCTTTCATTGACACGTGGATGCAGGAGAACTGCTTAGTCATTGAGGTTGATGCAGACTTTCAACATGTGGTCCAAGATTTCATCAAGTACAAGGAGCAGTTCCGTGGTGTCTCAGGACGAGTGCGGCTCGATCTGAAATCCACATGCATCTTTCACTGGAACTTTTGGGCATATGTCATAATGTCGATGTTCTTGCATGTTGCGACGACATGTCCGAAAGTTTCTTAAACAGGCTTATTTTCTATCAAACGGGACCAAAGAAATTCAGGTCAATTTTTCTATCTTTCGAGCACCTCAGTTTCCAAAGGTCGGTCTATTGAAGTTTCACCTGTTAGGCTTTTACAAGGGGCACGATTAATGTCAGATGGAGCTTTAAAAAATCAACTTTGTGACTCACACCTGTCATGTCTGAGGCTGGTCTTGTGTGGCTACGATGCTACAGTTTTCCCATCCAACGCAACATACGTGCGACAATCCATCACTGCGCTTGCAACGATTTTGGGGATGGGCTCGGACTTCTGTGGCCATTACCAAGTTCCCGTCTTTCAGTCTCAAACCACTATGTCTGCGATGGTCAAACACCGACGCTTGATCGAGGACCAACTGATCGCCAACAAGTTGTCGATCGTGAACAGCTTCCAGCTTCTCTACAGCAAAGAGGAGTCAACAGCCCGGGACACGCGTGCGCTCAGCCAGCAGTGCATCGGCTTGGTCCATGGCAACTTCCCAGACAGCAGTTGGTTGGCTTCCCGGGTTTTGGTGGAAGGAAAACTTGGACCAGTACCTTTGCTACCCTTCAACCAATTCTTGGGCTATGACGATACAACCAGGCCAGGAGCTTCGGCGAGAGTTGAACAGATGCTCAGTCGCATGTTCCAGACAGCATGCGTATTGTTCACATTTTTTTTGGGGGGAAGCATGTTCCAGACATGTGTGGGTCAATCAGATGCCTGTTAGGAAGGGTCTCGAGGCCCACAAGCAGGTCCTACAAGGCTTCATGTCTGGCATGGACTTCAGAGCGGATGACCGCCTCTTGTTCGTTGACTTGGTCCCAAACAGGCTATGTATTTTGAAACAGGGAGCATGCATTGGAAAGGATGTTGGTGTATTGTCTTTTTCAAGATGTATTTCTTTTTTACTGGTTGGATTTTCCCATGACGGTATTCAGAAACGTTTGCGAATTCATCAGGTCTTGGGTGTTTTTTCTTAACGGGTGTTACAGTTGCAGACAAGCAAACATACTGTAATTAAATCAAGTTCCCTTGCTTCGCACCAAAGGGTTTGTGTCACTGTTTAGGTTTGGGTTGTGTCATCGTGCACAGTTCAGCAGGTTCTGCGAATTTGGAAGGGCTGTTGCCGAGATCCGGCTTGCAGATCCAGCTTCACCTTTGCGCTACTTGGGCTTCGTGAAGACCAAAGACTCTGGTGAGCCTTCTGCTTTCAAGGACTTGGTGAACAGTGTGCGGTCCAAGGTGTGGGAGCACTGGGATTCTAGCACAATGGCCCCTCCGAAAACCAGACCTCGTGAAGATGCTGCTGCTGCAGCGCCCTCCCTGCAACTTCTGGCTTTTCAGGATGGCAGACCAGTATTTCCTGAAGTTCTGCGCAGCCGTTTCCCGGTTGGAACTGCTGAGCATGCAGAGGTGGAGACCATGTTCGAGAAATTCAAGGAGAAGTTTCCTCAGCAACCACGCCCAAGTGCTCAACCGCAAGGATCTGCTCCCCGTTCCGGAGGGCTCTGTGACTTCAGCGTCAACCAGGGCAAGATGCCGGTGGATCCAAATCGTCAGGTGGATTTGGTGCCTGTCAAGGATGCTGACTTCCAAGTCAGGAGGACCAGTGTTGGCCAGTTAAAACATGTCATGATAAGATTTTATTACGTAGAAAACATCATATATAGCTCCCGGTTTCCCAATTAATATACACTCACAGTTTCCAATGTTTGGGCCACTTCAGACAGTGCAATACCCTGTACAAGGCTTGGATCCATCAGCATGACGGGAAAGCGGCCAGCTGTTGTCATGACCAATGAGTTGGACATTTGGGTTGGAAACACCAGCGATGTGGCGTGCACACTAGGGCCAGTTGAACTCTTCGGGTTCAGCACAGGATCTTTTGAGGAAGTTGTTTCTCGCGGCAACTTGGATCAGGGAATCATATCGTTTTGTCATTTGAAACCCCGTGGAATCCCTTGAGCACTAGTCCAGATCAAATGCTTGCTGTAAATATGATCACGTGTGGTTGCCCGGAATCACGCAGAGGCACCGCCACTGCAGACCAGAGAGGACTTCTCTTCCGCATGCCAGAGGGTGATTTGAGCTTGGTTGTTGCAGAGGACAAAGTGATCTATCCGATGTGTGAGTACTTGCGCATGCTGGCGACACGCCGGGGCATCAGTGCTGTGGAGATTGAAGACCACAAGCTTTCTCCATGGACCCGCCAGGCGGTGGTTTCGTAAGTTCAATGGATGTTTGTAAACATGTATCAAGTGTTTGAAACGAATTGAAGGTAACGGTTTTGGGAGATTGAAATGGTTCTGTTTCAGATTCCACGTCCCTTCCTACATGTGTGACACCATGCGTTTTTGGTGGTTGTAAGGCAAGCACATGCGTTCCAAACTCAACGGCTTCTAAATTTTGTGGCGGTTCAAAAAAGTTTCCAGTACACTACGCCAGGCCCAGAATCGCTTTTTCCGACCATCCAACTGTGGTTGTTAAAGATGTTCCTAAAACATTTGATTCCTCCTTCCACTTGCTTTTTCACTAGAAATCACTGACTCCAATCCTTGTCAGTACTTCAATCACTGAATTCAATCCTTGTCAGTACTTCAAAATCGTTGGCTACAAATTGTCATTGGTCCAGGATGGCGAAGCTGCAGATCCCCTGCCGGTGTCCTTCCGCTACCAGATTGGAAGTCTGGAAACTGGGAAGACGCACATCTTCAAGCCCAATCCATTGGATTCCGAGTCAGCTGTGCGGTCACAAACGATGGGGGCGCTTCTGAATGGGAAATACGACCAGCTGGCGACCAATCCGCGCTTGCAGGTCCTTTGGGAGGCCAGTGTTATAATGTGAAAAAAATAAGAAAGGAACCGCTATTGGGTTTTCCAGCGTTCTTTCTTTGCTAAGTTTTGGGCGACACGTTCAGTGTTGTTCGTCGAGTCATAGTCTTATCGTAATGCAGCATTATCGTACCCACAAAGAAAACGAGAAAGCACAGAAGTTTGGGGAATTGTCGTTGCTCGTCGTTTGGGCCGCTTTCTTCCTGTGTGTGTGTGTGGCAAAACAGTTCGGAAATTCAAGTTTCTTTATGATGTGTTCCCGTCAGTTAGTCTCTAGTCAAAAACTTTTCCTATGACAATTTTAATGTTTCATCCATACTGTCACCAGCCTGTATACATGCTGAATCATAGTCAGTCACTAGTCTGTGAGAGCAAACACATGTGAAAGCAAGCAAGGTTTTTAGGGCGCGTTCAATTTGCTCTCGTTTTTGTAAGTCCTTGCGTGGCAGGTTGAGACAAGCAACAGCCCTGCTGTGATCCAAGCGAAGAAACCAAAGGTATATATGACTTGCAGCCTTTGCCTTGAGCCGAAGTCTTGGTACAAGCTGTCAACCTGACAGCACCTGACAGCTTTTTGGCAGATTCAAGTTTTGACAGAAGTGCCATGCATTGACAAGTGGTCGTGCAGTTTTCCGATAGCATTCAATTGAGAGCTTGGTTGCCAGACGAGTTGAAAGTAACATGGAAGGAACTCCTAGCAGCCTTCTAAACTTGCGTGTAAACTCCTGGTCTGGTTCATGTTTAACAGTTGATTACTGGTTACGAACACTTGAGACAGGTCATGGTGACCATCCTCTCAAAATACAATTTGAATGGCCTGGCGATTCGGAATTCGCCACTTCTCCCAATTTAGGGCTACGTCTTTGCGCCTGTCCGCAGAGACCATGGAGACCGGCAGTTCGAAGATGATTGAAAAACGAACAATCATTGGAACCTGTGGAAGAGAACAGGAACGTTTATAGATCTAGACATCTTGAACGTAGCACTTTTCATCAGAATGCGCCGGCCACAAGTCTAAAGATCTCCAGGGCAGCATTACTTCGCCGCAGGCCATTTTTTCCCAAAGTCTTGAAACCAAGAAATAAGTATCGGACGTCATGCCGGTCATGCAAACAGTCCACCAACTGTCCAATTCGGAGACTCGATATTGTTTGAAAATTGTAGTTTTCGTTTCACTGTTGTTCTATTTTCGTGTAACCGTTGTGCAGCTTCTGAATTTCTTGGCTGTCATGAGCTCAAAGCGTTTCTTCACAGTTTTTCTTCCAAGGAGGGAGAAGACGACTGTCCTGATGCCAAAGCGCGTGAGAAGATTGAGAAAGCCTCTATTGCGAAAGCCTCTACTCCGGAAGTCAAGGCCAAAGCTTCTCAGAAAGCGAAAGGGAAACTTGCACGACAGGCAGCTGGGGCCCGTGCGGATGCCGTCGAAGCCCCTGCGGAGCCGGACGGTGTTGAGACCAAGAGGGGCAAGACCTCCAAACCGGCTTCTTCGTCGAAGGCGAAAGCCAAAGCGGCGTCCAAAGCGAAGGTGAAGGCCAAAGCAAAGGTGAAGGCCAAAGCAAAGGTCAAGAAGGCAAAGGTTGCAGAGTCTGAGCAGGAAAAGGAGGTTGAAGAGTCTGACACGGTTGAGGGGCCGCCCATGAAGAAGCCGGCAGCGTCGGCATCGAAAGGAAAGGGGAAAGGGAAGCCCAAACGGAAAGCAGCGAAGTCGATTTCAGGTGCTTACGCGGGTCTTTTTTCACCATTTTACCCATCGTAAATATTCTGACATTAGGCATACATTCTTATATTCATGTCGTTGCCTCTTCTATCTCACCCTTTCTTTGGCATTCTGTCTGACATTATTCTGTTTAGCGTCTATATGCTAGCTTTTGACATAGTTTTCTCTCGCGGGCATATCATTTTGGCTAGTTAATGCCCTCGATGTCTCTCTCAAATCCTTCCTTCTAAGAAATAAGAACTGCGTTTCAATGTTTTCGGACTCGCATGATGGAGGTCACTTGAAGTAAAATGTGTGTTGTGATTGTGACATCAGATATTTGGCGGGCCGCCAGGCGAGAAGATCAGCAATCCATATTGGATCGGCAACTCATCCCGTTGGGGCATCAAGATCAACGACTCTGAGAAGCTTCGAGTTTGCAACCCAGAATTTGCCAGTGTGTGTGTGTGATCAATTCCCAAGACATGTCATCAATGAGTGGATGTTTCAACACATTTTAAGCTTTAGGTGGGCAACAGATTCCTCGATCGTGACCTATGCTGGCAGATCTGTGACGATGCCGCCAACGACCTGAGACGTGGTAAGCCGCTGGAGGAGGTTGCGAGCATGTGTGATCCTTGGTGGCATTAGCCCCATCTGCAGTTCGTGACTTGTCCAAAGGCCTGTGAGTTTTTCCCACCTGCCACACGAGGGGTTCTTAGATTTTATACGAGCTCTTCTCCTCCTTCTTTCTCCTTCCTCCTCCTTCTCCTCTACCAGCTTCCAATCGCAGTGGGCACCGCCGGGCCTCAACTGCAAATTCTCGATCGCAGTGGGCACTGCCGTGCCAGTTCTCGATCGCAGTGGGCACTTCCGGACCTCAACCGCCAGCTCACGAGCTCAGTGGGCACTGCTGGACCCCAACTGCCAGTTTTCCATCACAGCTGGCATTGCCGGACCTCAACTGGCAGCTCTCGATCTCAGTGGGCAACTGCCAGTTCTGGATCGGAGTGGGCACTGTTGGACCTCAACCGCCAGGTCACGAGCTCAGTGGGCACTGCCGGACATCACCTGCCAGAAAGAATGTCAAAATATTTTCCAAATAGAATGTCAGAATGTATGTCAGATAGAATGCCAGAATATATGTCAGATAGAATGTCAGACAGAATGTCAGAATATATGTCAGATAGATTGATATAGAGTGATGCCAGAATATATGTCAGATAGAATGTCAGAATATATGTCAGATAGAATGATGCCAAAATATATGCCAAATAAAGTGTCAGATTTTATGTCAGATAGAATCCCAGAACGCATGCCAGAATATATGTCAGATTGAACGTCAGAGACAATGCCAGATAGAATGTCAGAATATATGTCAAATAGACCGTCAGATAGAATGTCAGATAGAATGCCAGAAAGAATGTCAAAGTATGTGTCAGATAGAATAATGCCAGATAGAATCTGAGAATTTATTATGAAGGTAAAAAGCCAAATAGAATATCAGAATACATGCCAAATAGATTGCCAGAATAGATGTCAGATAGTAGGCTGTCAGATAGAGTTGTGAGATACAATGCCAGATAGACGAATGATGCTAGGTAAAATGCCAGAATATATGTCCAAATATATATGTTTCGAAATGTCATTGTGGGGATGACTCCAAGTAAAATAATGTTCATGTCGGTTCAGTTCAAAATCGGGTTGCCATCCAGGCGGCCCGCCAGAATGCGCTGACGGCCAAGTTGCCGGATGGGAAGCGCACGGAAGCCAATGCTGAGAAGGAGCCTGATAATAAGGAGGATGCCGCCGAGGATGGTGCAGCAGCTGGCAGTGATCAGGTGGAAGACCAGGAGGAAGGCGAAGAAGAGACCAAGGAACATGATGTTGCTGTTGTTCCGGACGCTTCGGAGTCGGAGTTGCCAAAGGCTGTGCCCGAAAATGTGGACTGAATGGAAGAGACTTCTGCAAAGCAGGATTTGGCACCGGATGGGAAAAATGCAGGTGTGTGAACGTGGGGGACAGTTTTGGTCACGGACAGGGTGTGTGTTAGACAGGCAGGACCATGTGCCTGCTATGGCACTGATTGACATGATCATGTCCTCAGAAGTTTGCATCTTTATCCCCAAAATCGTGTGGTTTGAGGCGAGGTTCCGTGTCAGTCAGTGGTTTGCATGACATTTTTTGATTCAGTGCTCCGAGCATGTCGTCCGAATATGACATCAGTGCTATCCTTGATCATTTGATTCAGTTCTCCGAGCATGTCGTCAGAATATGACATCAGCCAGCGGTATCCTTGACCCAAGTGTTTCCAGAAGCCTCAACTTCCATCTGTTTCAAGGTTGAAGTGTGAGAACCTGAGCCACTCTCTTTGAATGTATGTCCGCCGGATTTTGCAAGCAACTTCGAAATTCACGGGTCGCGGAACCAGCAAATTACAAGTAGCTGCCCCATTGACTGACAGCCATGACATTGGGAAGCGCACGCAGAATCTGATCGATATTTTGCATTCACTCAGAGGTTACAAGTTATGCCTTTCCTGTGGTTTGGAGTATATTCGGAGCTTTGTTTCTGAGCAGCTGGGCTTTACATATTTCTTGTAGATTTTGCGCAAATACCTGTGCAAGTTTGAAACGACATGGCATTTCTTAGACCAGCTGTTTTCTCGCGAGTTCTTTCAAAACCAGGCAAGACTGGAATCGTTTGCAGTGTGTGTCCAAAGACTGCCGATGTGAAGAACATCATGCTGAGAAAGACGACACAGAGCTGACCCTTGAAATGGCCCTCATGAAGCTGAGTGCTTGAGACTCTAAACCCACAAGCGGTTCCTGGTAACACCCAAAAGTGGTCCATCTTTTTAAGACAGCAGCCAGACAGGTGCGGGGCAACAAGGATGTGTGTTTCACACGGGGATCGGCTGCCAAGCCGACGTTTCTCAGAGCGAACCATAGAACCCACGCATTTTATCAGAGCGAAGTGATTGACGGTTGTTTTCAGGCCCAAAATCGTTCCATGTACTGCACCGTATCCGGTTTGTTTTCCTTTTAATTTGTCCATGCCATGCAGTCAGAGGATGCCCGGCCTGCGGTTGCACTCTTGGTGAAACCACCATGGGCTCGCCTTCTGGTCAATGGAGTCAAAACAGTAGAGGTCAGAGGAAAGGCAACTGAGAGGATCGGCCAGAGAGTTGCAATAGCGCAAAGTGGTTCCCAGCGTCTAGTGGGTGAAGTGTCTTTGGAAAGATGTTGCCTTGTGGCCGTTCGAAACGAGCAAGGTTTGTTGGAAGATGTGCCTGGGGCACCGCATACACTAGACAGTTTGAAGTACGCGCACTGCATTGAAGACTTGACGTGCATTCCTTATGACAAAGTGTATGCTTGGTTTGTCAGCAACAACTTGGCCTACTTCAATCCTGTGCCTTATGTGCACCCCCGAGGTGCGGTGACCTGGGTTAATCTTTCGAAGCCAGTGGAAGACGGCAAGCGGAAAAAAACCCGCCAGCCAGATAGGAAGAATAAGAAATCAACGTTGGGTGGCAAAAAGCCATGATTTCGCGTGCACCAGCAGGAAAACAGCCAGGCTCAGACCATTCAGTGGTTCTCACATGTCTTGAATTTTGGCAGTCAAGAATGACCTTGGGCATGTTGAAAAGGCGAGACATGTGCACACACACGCATTGTCCAGTGCAACGTCAGGCTTACGGCCATGTGAAGGTAGGATTACAAAGTTTTGCCCGGCTTTTTTTCTGCTGTCTATTTGAATTTGTTAAATTAATATATTGCCACAATGATATTTTGTAGATAGATACGAGTTAGTTTCAACATAGTATAGATACAAGTTAGTTACAAATAATTATGGATATGTGACTGAGACTTGACCTACGGTTCTATGATTGAGACTTGACTTACGGTTCAATTTTGAGGACAGACTTGCACACGGTCAGACGCCCTGATGGCTTGTAGAATGTGCCATGCATCCTAAGGCCTTATAAGCATTTGAAAGTTAGCGGAGCAAACTGAAGCAAATCAATGGTAGCGGAGCAAGCTGAAGACAATTCTGCTAATTAGCCAAATGCAACGCATCCTTGGAACCCCCATTCACTTTGGAACCCCCATTCAAGGGAAAATTCTTTATTGTTAATTATTCCTCAGAAATGCCTGTTGAATTTTTGCCAGACAGTATTAGCTCTTCGGGCTCTCCATTTGACATTGAAACTCTCATTGACTCAGTTTTAGCAGAGTCGTCGTTTTTCGGCGCAACTCGCAGTGAGCATGAAGTTAATCGCCAAGAACATTTCCAGGAACTGATCTCGCATTTACGAGAAGGAAGTGCTCACGGTAACACTTATCTTAAATCTTTTGCTCGTTATGGAGTTGAACAGTTTGACTATACCGGCTTCATTTATTCATTGCCAAAGGGCCAGAGAGTTCCTACGTTAAAAGAGCATTTTCTTGACAATCAAGATGAAAATCCACTACCAATTTGGAGGCCCGAGGTATTCTTCAAATACCCAGACGGCAAGGAGTTCTCAGAGGCAGAAATTTTCCGTTTACTGGAACTTTTTAGATCATGTCTCCTCGGCAAGCGTGCCCCGACAGGTGTTGTCAAGCGTACCAAGAAGAACATCCACGAATTCCAGCGTGACACCTACCAGCTTGGCATTCTCACCCTGAATCTTGGCCACATCAACCGTGTTCCGTATATCGGAGGTAGTTCCAAGTTTCCCAAATGGGTTAGAACTGATATCAATTATCGTGTTTTGCCACACTTGGTATTCCGCAATGCGGCCCATGTTGTGTGCTTATGCGAGGCCCATGATGAATATGGAGGTATCGCCGCTCACCGTGAATTGGCTTCCGAATACGGAATGATCGGTATGGTGGTCCATCCTGCAATTAATTCCCAATCACTTGCAATTTTTCTCCGAGGTGGCCACGAAGTTGGTTCGTTTATCGAACTTCTCGTTCATCACCAAATTCAGACTGAAACAAAAACTCATCCTTTTGGATCTTGCATGGGGCAGTATTCCGTCTAATTTTCGGAGACAATACCTCAGGAGAAGTCGTCGACCCATCGACTGGTGCTCGCATTCCGAAACCGGATCACACCAAAAATCTCGAAGCAGCAGCCCAGCAACATTGTCGGCCGCTTGCATCAACACTTGACTTTCTTGATCACAGCATTTGCGAGATTGATGGGGACGAAACACTTGCCGTAAACGGCGTAGAAGTGTGCGAAGTAAACCCGGGAGCAGATACATTTGATGTGCGCCGTTTACTCTTGGCCGAAACCCAGGTTGGTGTTTTTCACATTTCGTCATTCGCCTGGAAAGATGCCTACCAGGAGACTTGCCAAAAGTGGCTTGGTTTTGTCGCCAGTTGTGTCGAACACCAATGTGACTTTGTCACAGGCGATGGCAATCTTTTCGCACAGCGAAGTTTTAAAAACGACGAACATTCCGACTTTCGGACGTCGATTATGATAGACATCATTGAACGTTTCCTTCAGCAAATTAACATTAATCGTAGTCCAATGAACCGTATTACGTATAACGTAGTGTCTTCAACCACAGCAGCCGAATATCTTCGAAGCATGCACGGCGAAGCTGCTGATTGTGACTCGATGGTTTTAATTTCTCTTTGCTACGGCAAGCAAACTGCTGTGACCGAAGCTCGCGCCAAGGAGGATTTCGCTTCTGCGGATGGATACTCCGGAAGTGCTTTTGCCGATGAAATTTTACTCACCGATGTTGAGCAGTTAAAACATTTGTTACCATATGATCTAGGCCTGGCAGAGAAGGACTGTGCGTGGCACTCGCCACTCCTCACATTTGCACAGCTAAAATGCCTCAAAAATATGCGCATTCGCACCAAGGCATCAGAAGACAGAAGAAGAGAGCGCTGGAGTCAGAGAACTCAGGGCTATGAAGACCGAAAAGAAGAAAGAAGAGAACGCCAGGACAGTGTTCCGCCTTTGCGGAGAGACTCACATCGCCATGTTGACACGCACCGATCTCGGTCAGCCAGCAGAGCCAGGAGTAGTAATCCAAAGGCACGTACACCACAGCCGCCTCCTGCGCCTGTAAGATCACCGGTCACACCACCAAAGGCAACTTCAACATCCAGTCAACCTGTGCGATACAAGGCTGCACCTGTCAGTCTCAAGCAACATCCGACCTCAACCTCAACTGTCACACCACCAGTGAAAGCACCGCCTGTGCCTGTTGTACCGCCTGCTCGGTCATCTGCACGCACTCGTACCATTAGCACTCCACCAGATCCGCCTCCTCGGCCACCGAGTACAAGTCGAGTACCTTGGAGAGAAGCCACACGCACTAATGATCCACAACAATATACGCGGAAGAGACCGCATGGAGTGCCTGAACCTCCTGCACCGCCTCGACACATGTCAGGTTCGCAATGGTTAGACCAGGGTGCATCCGCATCGAGCTCGACAGGAAACCGCACTTACGGTTACGAGAACTATCAACCGCCATACTATCGGACAAATCCAAATACTTCGCATGTCGAATATGTACCTGGCTATACTGTCCCTAGACAGCGTTGGGTCCAGAAGTACGATGGTACTTGGCTAGATATGATTCCTCAAACGCCAGACCAGTCCATCTTTTTCCACCAATCTGGCGAACTGAGAAGACAGAATGAAAGAGCCTTCTATGGCTATACTTTCTCTATGGGACTCTAAGTCTTCAGATTGCCTTTGTGCCGCATATACGGCCTGCATTCCAAAAGCCGAGAGTAGCTATCTGTACAGTTTTGTTTTTCGTCTTCGGACTGTCTCACAGCAGATCACAAGCTGAGCGCTTCTTGTGAAACCATTCTTGCATGTTCCGACACGAAGAAAATTTGTGTCTGTTTGTGATTTCTTTTTGTGTTTTACGTGTCTACACAATGCTTCATGCATGTTGACATGTACACTGAATTCACATCTTTCATGCGCACTCCGCATGGCTCAAGACTAGCA